GAGAGAGAGAGAGAGAGAGAGAGAGAGAGAGAGAGAGATGATAGAAGTCTAAAACTGGTGAGAGTCTTTGAGGTCCCAAAGAGACAGGAATGAAGCAAATCCTGAAGCCTTCTGCAGCAGACCGGAAGCAGAGCGATGACGTGGTTGAGGACTGTCTGCACACAAAAAATGATAATAATGATTCAAATATAGAATATACACTAGCTTTCTGACAGAACATGCAGGCCTTGCAGCTTCTTATTGCCCGCGACGCATGATTGACAGGCTGCACAGCATCCTACGATTGCATCGAGCAGAGTCCCCCCCCTTTCATTTCATCATCGGGAGAGGAGGAGGAGGAGGATGATGATGATGATGATGAAGGCCTTATAAATGCAGCTGAGTCCACGGTGTAGCTGCAGAGCCTAGGCATCGGTTTAATCAGGGAAATGGAAGCAGGGAGGGAAGGGAGGAGGGAAGGAGAGAATGTGAGAAGGAGATATGGAAGGCGAAGTGGGGGTGGAGGAAGGACAGTGGAGGACGGACGGAGGGAGGGAGGTAGGGGGGGAGGAAGGCTAATTGAGGAGGAGGGTGAATGTAAGAGCGTGTGTGGGGGGGGGTGGAGTTGAAAGAAGGAGCCGGTAGCTACCAGCTGAATGGATGTGACCTCCGCCCCCCTCGAGGGAGCAGCTGCTTCTGGCTCCCACCTGATTTATGAGGTCACTTAGTGCACACAGAGGGCCACACCCAGGGCCTTTTCTTCTGGACATGTGACGTTTCTCGTGTGTGTGTTTGTATTTTTGTCTGTGACTGATGTACACCTTATGTGCGACATTGTCCCCTCGAGACGGAAGTGATGAATATGCACTTTGTGTTTTTTTTTGCAGTGTCCCTATGGGGACAGGAGTGATGAACGTGCACGATTGCCCTCCGTGACACATGCTCGGTGCCGGAGAAGGGGGGGGAAGGTGGGGGATGTAAAGTGGCACAAATAATTGCCTGTTACAGCCATTTAGCTCCGCCACGTGCACACGCACGAGCGTGCACGCTCACTCGGCCCTGCAACTGACGATCCCAGAGGAGCAGTTATCTCTGTGATTTGTAGGCTCTGACCCACAGCACCAAACCTCTGCAGTCTCTCCTACATTCTGAGGGGGGAGGGTTCTCAAAACCATATGGCCATTTTTAAAACTCAAGACGCTGATCTGTTTTATGTGCGGCACGATAATCTCCTTTGGCTGCTTCAGTTCTGTTCTTCTGGAAATTATTTTTGCCACAGATTGGTCTATTTGTGGAGCTAGATTGCGGGGTGGGCCCTACTCTTGGTTTTTGGTTTGTGACCTCCAGAGCTGGTTTTAGCCAAAAATGCTTGCTAGTCTCCATCCACTCTTCTTCTCCACATTGGGCTCAAACACTTTGGAGCCTTTTTTTTGGCAGGAGGGGGGGGGGCTCTTCCTTCTAAAAACAGCCTCTGAAACACTGGTGAGGAATGGCACCGTTAAAGCTGACCCCCTCCGCTGAGAAAACGAGGCTAAACACATCGTGTTGGTAGTAAATAGTAGCCGACGTTCTTTAATGCGGGCTGCAGGTTCTGTCACACTGTGTTGATTGTTGTGACAGTGTGCAGCTTTAACTGCGAGGGCCTGTGGGTTGAAAAACTTTTTATGTGCCTTTTCGTTCACCAAAAACGACGTAGCTGAAGGACACAAAAGAGTTTTTTGTTTGGAAATGTGGCTTTACTCACCGACATGAACGCTGGCTTGTCTTTCACCCTCACAATAACATAGCTGTAATGAGAGAAATGGCCATTATACTGCAATGGAAAACTGGTTCTGGGTATCAAACCTCAATAATTTGTTGGTGCCAATTAGAGATAGTATCGAATACTGTTTCTTTAATGTGTTTTGGTGTATTTCTGCCTTTATTAGACCTGTGAATGATGGCAACCATTTACAGCATGGGCAGTCAATGTGTTTACCAGGTTTTCATGAGCAGCATACAACTGTATTTGAAACTTTTATACAGTTTATTAATTACAAATTATTTGTATTAGATTGTGCCGTCTCTCAAGTCCCCAGGCAGAGGCAAGTTAAGTATAGAAGATAATGGAAAAGTTGTCTTTAAATGTCATGTTTCCTGTCACCCGAGACAAAGAAAACCAGCAGATCCTCACAACTGAGAAGCAGAAATGTTGTGCCATTTAAAAAGAAAAAAATCTTTATTACTAAAATAGTTCCAGATTATTTCTCAACTAAGAATGAGCTGATCAATTAATCGTTTCAGTTCTACTTTTAATGTATGGAAAGAATATGATTTTTGGTTTTGACATTGAAACTCAAGTTACAGCAGTAATATTGGAAAACAAGAAAGAAACAATGTCCAGCCCTACTGTATTCAATATTTGATATCTATAATGTATCATTTTCTCCAAATATGTCCAGAAATGTGATGGACACCACTGACTGCATTGTTAGTCAGTGTATTTAGCTGATTTTTAAGTAATATTCCAATTAGCTTTATCTATTAAACAGTATCTAAACCCTCTAGAATTCTGTGCTTATAAAAACGACTTTGTTTGATATTTTGACATCAGAATTTGTCCTCATACCTCTGATCAGTTACTGAGCATCGATCAGCTCCCACGAGCCTCCATGAGCGAGAACACATAGAACCGGCACAATGCAAACACTGTTCTCCGTCTGAGTGGACGTGGTCTGGGAGTCTCAGGGGTGCTGAGTGAGTCACCAGCGGTCCGCCAGTTCAGAGACAGAAACACATCATAGCACTGTGGCTCCATCTTTAAAGACGCTCATTGGTCTTAAATCCCTCTATCTATAGGTGATGTGGCTCGATAATAGGAGCGGATTGTTCTGACTGAACCAGCACAATGTTATACATATAAGACTGCTGCCGCTATATAATATAAGTGAAATGGTATGCAGCAGTGTTAAAGGAGCTCCACAGAAACAAGTGCAGGTATTGTACTTAAAATGAGGCGGAAATATAAGAATAACTCGATAACTTATTCATTCCTTTTTATTCAACACCAGCTGTTACAGTTCAGGATCATCAAGCTTCTCTAAAATAAGTCTATTGTGCTCATTAAGTGATACGGCACAGCTGGAATGCAGCTTTAGAACGCGATGTTCAGTCAGTGGGCCCCTTGAGAATTCAACCGATATTCCTCCACTGCTCCCAAGAGGAAATGCTTTTAAGGTGGGGGGGGCGTAGTGCTACTGTTTTTGCTCCACGGCTTTCACTCTGCCGTGATGGCGGAAACGGAGGCCCTGCAGTTCAAGTGTCAAAGTCTGGGGCCTAATGAAAGACATCTGAGTGTCGTTAAGGTGCCAGATTTCGAGCATTATATAGGGCCTCAGCGGACAGACAGCAAAGGTGTCTGCAGCCGGCCCTGGCTGCTGGCTTAAAATCGGGTTAAGACCAAACTGTGACATATCTAGGACTTAATGCAGCGCTTTCCACTTAGTCTTTGTGACTTGTTAGGTTCTGCTGGACAGCTTGTGTACTGCCGTTTGCTCTCTGCGCTGCTGTTCTCACTGAAAATGAGGGTAGATTGCCACAAAAATAATAACTTTGTGAGCCCATAACTTTTCATCTAGTGGCATCTTCAGGGGAAATACGTTGCCTGCAAATGCTAGCATGACATGACATGTGTACAAACTGGCAATGTCCTGCACCAGCTGTGTGGACTTGCGGTGACTTCTTTTCTAACAGACACAGTCTGTCTCCCGGTAGCAGCAGCAGCTCTCCTCCAGCAGACTGACGGTTGGGACCATTAGCTCCTTGTCTCCAATCCCCCACACACTGTTGAATAATCACCTCGCTGCTGTAAATATTTGTCTGTAACCGCAGACTGCTCATCATGTATCTGAAGTACTCCTCTCGCTGTCTCGGCTGTGCAGGTGCTGCGCTGATTTGTTGCATACGTAGACACAGAGAATCAACATCTGTGACAGCTGTTTATCAATTTCCAGTGAGGTCCCTTATGGCTGTATCGCTAGCACTGTGTATGGAGCAGTTTCCAGGCCTGTTTAGCTTTCCACAGAGCTTAGATTACAGCGATGGCCCCGTTTACGTTTAGGAATCAGACACGCTTGATTCACAAAGACAATATGCTGCCGTTTTGGCACAGAGTTTTCTACTCTCTGTGACGAGGTGGCCTGGTCCTCTCTCTCTCTCTCTCTCTCTCTCTTACTTTCTCAATTGAATACCAGATATGTCATCTTTATGGCTTCAAGAGGGAGATGTGGCTGGCTGCCAGGCACCACGATACAGGCTTCCTGTGCGATCCCAGCCGAGCTTCCTGTGTTTCAGCAAAGGAAGGGCCGACTCAGCAAAGACAGGGTGTTTGGGGAGGCTTACTGTACAGCGGATCCCAGCCCCCACAGGCGGAGCCCTCTGGTTCTATTGTCACAGGCAGGCCAACCCCCCACAAGATCCCCCGAAAACTAGCCCGCATTTCAGCCCGGGAATCGGCC